TTCCATCATTCCACGATTTACGTTGAATAGAGAATTATGGGCGCTTGAGAACATCGCAGCACACCTCCTGGGAAGCCTGTCGCAGGATTTATTCGGTGTTGGAGTTCGCTGGCGGCTCCAATGGCGAGACTCAGACGGTCAGCGCGGCTGACGTTGGAAACGGTATTCTGAGAAGAGCGGTCAGAATATGAGATCATATGCTTTGACAGTATATCATACCTGCCAACCAGAAGGAATAGTATAATCTTGGGCAGACACGCAGCACAAAAAGCAAAGGAATGTCAGCAACCAGCAGCGCAGAGGAAGAGCAAAAAGCATTGGCACCCGCGATTGGGCGGTGCGGGTTGCCAACATCATTAGTGCGAAAAGGAAGGCGGGGCAAGGTGGGTTGAGGTCGCCCTTTATGTATATAGGTAGGTGTTGGTATCAGGCACAATCGGTCTGAATGATACAAACACTGGGTATCCAAGCAGTTCATCACTTGATGTTCGCATAGACACGCGCGGTGTATACACTTCCAACTCCGCCCGACAAATGGCCGGCTCGCGCAGGTCAGACCTTGCGGAGGGTATCATCCCTCGTCTTGCGATGTTTGACAGACGTCCAGGGATATATATTAGACCATGCTATCCCACATACCAATCGAAAGGAACGAGTTCAAGCATGCACATCCATTCAGCCGTTCTACAACTGCACGGGGACGGGGCGTCAGCATGGCTCTCTCAACTCAAGCAACGAGAAGCCTGTACCTAGTTCAAAGAGATCTCCTCCGTCTCTCCGACCTCTTCATCTGGTGTCATGACGCTGTCCCTCAAATCCTTCTCCTTCGCCGGTGACGGCGGTGGCGGCACCTCGACCTTCAACTCGGGGCCCTTACCCTGGCCCGGCGCACTGAGTTCAGCCTCTTCAGACCCATCCTCCTTGGCATCGACATCGTAACCCTCGCCCTCCCCTTCGCCCTCGTTCTCTTCTGCCAAAGTCTCTCCTTCAGGTCCCTTCGGAGCAGGCGGTGGGAACTTGAACGCACGGTCCATAGTCCCATGTCTCGCATGTGGCGTTGGGGGTTTACTACTCCTCCTGTTCTTCTTGAGCTCATCCATATACTCGTCCACCGCATCCTCGTCGGAGCTTGCATGCGCATCGATTTCTTGCCCGGTAGGCTCTTCTTCGAGCGTAGGCTCGAGCGTGGGAGGAACCTCGGGCGCAGATGGCGGGGAACGTGTTTGGCCAGTGGGTGTGGACTGAGCCCGACCGTGAGCGGGGTTCACTGGTGGCGAGCGAGAGGATTGGGGGAGGGAGGTTTGCGACATGGACTGTGGACGGGCGAAGGGCGGCGCGTTCATGGGCGCAGCGGGCGTTGCACCGAGGTAGAAGCTCGCGATTGGTACCATCCTAGGAGGACATCAAGTCAGCAAGGTCATCTAGATGCTGCATAGATGTAAACATACTTCTTCTGCTGATGACAGGCAAGAATCCATTGCGGCTGCACAATCGGGATGCTCAACTGCAAGGCGCGCTGATACTCAACACCTGGTTGTCCATGAGCTGTACCGGGTGCCGCGGGCGTCGTACAGACGAAATGTGTCGTATCGATCGCAATCTTGTCCGTGAACTTTGCTCGCATTTCTTGCAGAGCCAATTTGGCGTGCTCTAACATAACCGAGTCTTCGACTGTGCCGAAGCATACGGAAATACCGGACGTGTCGGCCATGGTGTGTGTACGAGCACGGACGACGTTGCTCGGGAATGTACCGGCGGTTGTGCGTAGAACAAGGCGGAAAGTGTATTCAGTGTCAAGCTCAAGACCGGAGAGCTTTGTGGTTGTGTTCGTGAGAGGGGACGGGATTGGCGCGAGACGGACGCCGTTCCGGTAGATGTCCAGACTGCGGAGGGATGCCGTGGCGAGCTGCAGTGGCGGCCACTCCAGTGCGACGGATGTCTGAGTGACGTTTCTCAACTACCACAAAACATTAGTCCCATAGTCGTAGACGAGAAGTATATAGCGTACTGACAGTCAGTTCCGGAGGTTTGGGATGCTCGCTGCCGAACAAGTCTAGGATTTCATCCTGTAACTTCCAGAACGCGGCGTCTCGTACATGCTCGGCTTCAAGGTTTTGCGTCACGGATATATTGACAATAGATCCAGCCGAGGCACCCGGAGGTAGAAGTAGCGACGGGAACTCGATCAAGTGTGCCCGCTCGCCCAGCAGGATGGCCATACCGGCATCTACGGGCTGTGCTTAGCGTTCAGCTGTGGGCAATGAACATAATACCTACCGAGCTTTCCCACCGTAAAGGTGTAGCTATCCGTTGGGGCCATGAGTGAGACGCTCATCCCGGTCGTCGTGGAGGTACTTGGACGAGGACTTGGAGACGCGTCTCAGGATGTTGGGCGCTGTGCCGGAAGCACGGCCCGGAGACGCGTTCACTTGCAGAGCGCCTCGATGAGTCGCAGTACAAGTTGCCTCAGACCCTTATGCCACTTATGGCCAACGACCCGTTCACACATAAACCCTTATCAGTATCCATAAGGCTCTCAAGGAACCCTTTCACGAAAGCTGCTACGCGGACAAATATGGGCGACCTCGCCTCTCGAACCCCGTCCAAACAACTCGCGAAGTCATTCAGATCACCGCCTGAGCAATTATCTTTAGCATCTTACTCCCCGACTCGGAACATGCCCATGTAGCCCGAGTTTATCAGCTGAACTTGTTGTGATGAACATTCGGCGAGAAGACCTGTGTCATGCTGGGCGAATCTCTGGTGATGTACCCGTGACGCTCTATCCAACTTCTACCGCGGATCCCCGTTTCTATAGACCTCCGCATCACAGCGCAACGTTAACCGTAATCACAAGCCTTTGATGTGCCTTTTACGTCTGGGAGGGCGCGGTGGTCCTACATAAACCATCGGTAGAGAGGAGGTCCGTCGGTGCCTTGCATACCGTGCCATGATCGCGGTCGCGGTTGTAACGGCTTTGCTGCTGCCTTTGGGCTGCACGGCTTCGCTCGCTTCACGGGATCCGACAGACGTGTGCAAACAGATAGCTGGCGCCATCTCGGACGTTTCCGATGTATATTATCCGCGTACGTTCTGGTCCTCAATATACGACGTTTACAGCTGACAGGAAGCTATAGTGTCAATACAGTATGCTCAGGACAACAAACACTGGATGGGCTCGAGCTCTCAGACATCAGCGTGCTCCGTTGAACCCGGTACCGCCGAAGATGTCGGGAAGATCGTAAGTATCTGGGCTTCGTGTCAAGGCGCAACATGACTGAACAGACATCACACCACAGCTGGAAATAGTCGGGTCGACTAATACCTCCTTTGCGGTCTGCGACCCTCTAACGAGCCACTTACGCATGCGCTGACACGTGCTTGCTTCCTCAGGTCAAAGGCGGAGGACACGCCTCGAACGTCGGGTTCTCTTCCACAACCGGAGTGATGATCTCGATGACTCGCTTCAGCAACGTCACCCTGAGCGAGGATAAGAGTACCGTTGACGTCGGCGCGGGCCTCGTCTGGGATGATGTCTACGATGCGCTTGATGGCACGGGCGTGAACGTGGTCGGGGGTCGTGTGGCAGGTGTTGGGTGAGTTCGCGTTGCGTTAGTATCCAAGAGCGTGAAGCTGATGAGCCTGAGGTCCAAAGAGTCGCAGGCTTTGCATTAGGAGGAGGCTATTCTTGGAAGACTAGTCAGTACGGACTGACTTCCGACAACATAGCTGCTTTTGAGCTCGTACTTCCAAACGGGACCGTGAGGACTGTGACTGCCGACGATGACGACCTCTACTTTGCGCTGCGAGGAGGATTCAATAACTTCGTACTTATGAAACCACGATCCCCATCATTCGTGAACGTGATGCTGACGGCATTCCCAGGGCATAGTCACGAACTTCAAGCTCAATACACACGCGCAACCTGATACCATCTGGGTACATCTGAATGCATGATGAAGTACATGACCCATCGCTTACCATACGGTTGCAGGGAGGGACTCTTGTCTTCACAGGCGACCAGCTGCCCGCGGTCTCCCTAGCCATCGCCAACTTCTCGGCCAACAACACAGACAGGAGGGCCATGGCTCTCCCTACGTACAACTCAGCCATAGGCATTCCAGGTGGCTCCGTAATCGTCTTCTATGACGGGCCATCGCCTCCGGATGGTATCTTCGATGCACTACTCGCGATCCCGGCCTTGTCATCCGGAGTGCAAACTCATACATTCAGCGAGTTTGTCTCCTCGTTCCCCGCTGAACTTGCGGCACCTACAAGGTGGGCTTGCCGAATCTCCTTAAATCGTTCGACTTTGACCAGTGGCCGCTCCCAGGGGGGCGTTCATGTCCTGTTCTGTCTTGGACTTCACCCCTGCGATATTAGATAGGATCACTAACCTGACTCTGGTAAGCCTTTAAGCTTTACATGCCGCTGATCATATCGCATCGCATCGCTCACACCGATGTAGGAGTACGGTACAAAGCTATTACTCCTGGACTCGGCGTACTTCCTGTCCTTCGACATTGAGCCCTTTGACCACGATCTTCTCACGCACGGATCGGCGTCTGCCTGGCCACCCGACCGTTCGCGAGGCTATCTTCCCTTGAACCTCTACTTCGCATGGACACTGCCTAGTGCAGATGAAGCCATTTGGCAAGCTATGAAGGACGTCGTAGCAAACGTCACCGCGCTAGCTGTTGAAGAGGGTCAGAACGTCGATGGTGTGGCACTTTACGCGAACTACGCGCTCGCGGACACGACCCTCGAGGCGATCTATGGGGAGAATGTTGAACGCTTGAAGGCCATTCACGCTGATGTCGACCCAGAGAACGTGATGGGGCTGTCTGGAGGGTTCAAGTTCTGAGCGGAAGAGCCGATATCACTCAAGCTGTACTCCGTCTCAATTTACTAGCCACAGGCCCCTTGGGCGCATACATACAGGCTACGACCCTATAGATGGACCTTGGATGGACCTTTACGTAGAGGTCTGCGTGCTGTGCGCCCTTCTAGCCCGTTCGCTGTCAATAGACATCCCGAGAAGGCGACGCGATGCGCGCATGTGGCGCCCCCCTGCACTCCCGCGCACTGTCAATCATAGACCCATCGTGCTTGGACTTCTGTCCGACTGCGCTCCCAATAGCGTTTCGTACTGACATAAAGAGCAGTCGGGCCAGAAAGATACGTACGATCCCCTCGCGGTGTGCTGGCGCTCGTTGATCGAGGTCCTATCATGTTCACTTTCGGCGTGACGCTGTCGCTTCTGGCTGCAAAGGCGACCTTCGCATTTATAGCCGACTCGAACGTGACGGACGCCTGTGCACAGATCGCGAGTGCTATCTCGAGCGCATCTGATGTATACTATCCGCGTAGGGTCGTGGGCTCCCATGCGTGCAACGAGACTGACCGAGTGCTGTTCAGTCTCAGTCCAGTATGATGAAGACATCGAGCACTGGGCAGGTTCAAGCACTCAGGAAGCGACATGCTCCGTGGAACCTGGTACTGTAGATGATGTGGGGAAAATTGTGAGCATAACTATTCGTCAAAGCTTTCCCGTGCGTCGAGACTGAGGTGCGCCCCACAATGCGCAGTTGCAGATCGTAGGATTAACGAGAACACCATTCGCGGTGAGCATCACCGACCCTGGTGGCAGCAAGTCGACGCTGACGCTCCAGGCGCATAGGTCAAAGGTGGCGGTCATGCTACAAACGTCGGCTTCTCCTCGACAACCGGAGTACAGGTCTCCATGACGCGGTTCAACAATATCACACTCAGTGAAGACATGGCCACCGTTGACATTGGCGCAGGCTTGACATGGGATGAAGTATATGATGCGCTTGACGGCACTGGAATGAACGTAGTAGGAGGTCGAGTAACGGGCGTGGGTGTGGCGGGTCTCACACTCGGAGGAGGATACTCGTGGAAGACGAGTCAATACGGATTGACGATCGACAACGTCGCGGAATTTGAGCTTGTGTTGCCGAACGGTACTGTGCAGAGTGTGACGGCAGAAAACGAGGATCTGTGGCTTGCTCTGCGTGGTGGGATGAACAACTTCGTATGCCCATTCTGCACCACTGGAATGAGATTGAACCTAATGAGAGGGCAGGGAATCGTTACTAACTTCAAGTTCAACACGGTCCCGCAGAGCGATGTCTGGGTAAGCTCTATCTGTTGCCATTACGAAGGAGCGCGCGTTGAGAAAACAACAGGGTGGTGTGATCACGATGACCGGAGACCAGTTCCCAGCTGTCTCCGCCGCGATAGCCAACTTCTCAGCAAACAACACAGACACCAAGGCGGCCATCCTGCCCTCATATAACTCTGCTGCAGGTCTGGTAAGTCCACCGATTGAAGTACTGACGGCAGCAACAGGCTCACATCGCTCTCCCGTAGCCGGGCATGCTGCTGATTTTGTTCTATGATGATGCGACCCAGCCAGGACTCTTCGACGCGTTCATGGATATCCCTGCGGTCACGTCGGATGTCAAAACGCGTTCGTTCGTTGACTTTGTTACGTCGATACCGATCAGCCTTGCGCCCCCTGTGCGGTATGTATCCAGAGTCAGTGTGGTGTGGCAAAGCCTGAAAGTCCCGATAGTGGCGCGTTTCACACGACTTCGGTGTTGGGTTACTCGCCGGCCATTCTCGACCTGATCGTCAACATGACGCTAGTGAGCAAAGTTCATACGCAGAGGCAAGATCTGAAAAGAGTTGAACCTATCGCTAGACGTACGGCCCGGAGCTCGCACTTCTCGATTCGGCCGTTCTGATCTCGATAGACGTCGAGCCCTTCGCCTCGACACTCTTCACGCACGGCTCCGACTCGGCTTGGCCGCCATCGCGCTCACAAGCCCTCCTTCCAACGAACGTCTACTTCTCATGGGTATTACCCAGTGCAGACGAGATGATGTGGGCGGTGATGGAAGAGATCGAGGGCAATGTCACTGCGCTGGCTGTTGCTGAGGGGCAGGATGTTGAACATGCAGCGAAATATGGGAATGAGGCACTGGGCGATACGACCGTTGAGGAGATTTACGGGAATAATGTCGTAAGGCTGAGAAGTATCAGAGAGGCAGTTGATCCGGAGGACGTTATGGGTCTTGCGGGAGGATTCAAGTTCTGAACATCTGGTGCATAGTTGGATGGCTCGGAGCAGCGTAGGGCTATAAGTCGGGGCGTCCACTACCGCGAGACACTTATTGTAGATTTGGCATATACAGTTCATGAGAGAGGGATATCATGTATCGTCACGTGGACAATGAACCACGGCCCAAGCCTTGGGGTGAGCGTCGGAATGAAAGCAGCTTGTGCCACTCAACGAGACGTGACCCTTCCGGTGACGTGAGGTCACACCTGAAATTGGCGGACCCACAAAGCCAAACAAGTGAGCCATTCAAGCGTTAGCGCCCAGGTGTCACTTCAAGGCTCCGTCCATGTCCTCCGAGTGAAATCACGATAGCTGCAGTACCAGAATGTACGGAGTGGCCCTTGTAGATCACTGTACACGCTTCATGCATCCCATCACTGCCTTTACGCTTCTCTTTTGAGTATTTTCCCCTACCATCTCCTCGCGGGATGTATGCGCGCCACAGCTCACATCTACATCCGCTATCCTCCTGAACCGTGTTGTCTCGGCGTGCGGGTTGGAGAAATAGACTGAGAGCACGTGTCGAGCGGAGTTGGACTATGTCTGAGGATCGTTTAAGCTCGGGTCGGCTGGCATAATCCAGCCTTGTCCCCGCCCACGACGTTGCGCTCGTCAGCGCGCAGGCCCTGCCTTGAGCTCTTCCTCTCCGCTTTCGATCTTCGTCTCATCACTATCTCAATTGCTATCTCTCTTACTTTGTCTCTCGTCGCTATTTTTCTCCGATAGAAATCCCGCGCCAAACGCATCAAGAAGAAGAAACGAAAGAAATGTCGCGCGATAATCTGAGCGGGCTCGGCTCAAACGGGACCGGGCTGACACGTTCGCAGCAGCAACAGAAGAACGATCTATTCGCTGCATCGCCTCTGGGCTTAGCAGCCTGGCGGTCGATGGGAGGCGATCTGTACTCTGGAGGTGCAGACTGGAGCACGCGGTGGGGGCGCAAGGGAATTGCCGAGGGCGGCGGAACGTTCTACGGCGACGCGGCGTCAGAGGCGCCGGCGTTCATGGACGCGGCCAGCATCGCTGCTCCCACCGCTCAACCTGCTCCGGATGGAGCACATTACCCGGCCGCCCCGCTGGCGACGGTGCCGACGGCATCGAGCAGGACGTCGCTGTTCTGGGGCGAGCTCGAGCCATGGATGGACGACGAGTACGCGCGTCAGGTGTGCGCCTTCATGCGGTGGGAGCCCATCCAGATAAAGGTCCCCCGCCCGGCACCGGACCCGGCGACGGGCACACAGGCGAATAATCCGGGATATTTGTTCTTGACGTTCGCGACGCCGCAACAGGCGGCGGCGGTGCTGCAACAGATCAACAGCCCGCCGGACGGCAAACAAGTCATGATGCCAAACTCGAATAAGCCCTTCATCCTCAACTGGGCCTCGTCCACGCCCATCACGCCCACCGTCTCGCCGCCTGCCCAGTCGACGCCGACCACGACCAACGGAAACGGCAGCAATACCGCCGGCAAAGATAATAGCAGCTCAAATAGCAACAATGGCTCGGGTGGGCAACAGTCTTTCCCGAAAGAGTATTCGATCTTCGTCGGCGATCTCGCTCCCGAAGCATCCAACTCGGACCTTGTCGCCGTTTTCCGCAACCCGGTCCTCGGCCTACGCAACGACCGCGAACCCAAGTTTATTCGTCCGTTCCTGAGTTGCAAGAGCGCTAAGATCATGCTCGATCCGGTCACTGGTGTCTCGCGTGGCTATGGCTTTGTCAGGTACGCAGCTACTGCTCATCCCTGTTGAAGGTTGTACTGAGTGTTGTGTAGATTCACGGACGAGGCTGATCAGCAACGTGCGCTCATCGAGATGCACGGCCTGTACTGTCTTTCTCGCCCGATGCGCATTTCTCCCGCCACAGCCAAGTTCAAGCCCCAGCAAGCGCCCGACCTTCCTCAGGTACAGAACCCGCCGCCGCAGAGCGCACTCGGTTCAGGTCTGCCGGCCTTGCCGCCCTACCCGCCTCCGCAGAGCGCCAGTCCTGCTTCGCCTGCTGCCAACGTCAACGGCCAACCCGACGACCTTCAGAGCGTGCTGTCTCAAATCGCTGCCATCGCCAATAGCTCGACCCCCGCCCCGAAGCCTGCTCCTCCCGCGCCACACAATAGCATCACCGCATCATTCGCCTCGTCGCCTTCGGCGATGTCACCCGCTGCAGGTGAAGGCCAGGAAGGTTGGAAGCATCAGACGCAAGTTCGCGCGATCCTGTCTTCCCTCATCGGTCCCAACGGCGAACAGCTCACGAGCACGGATCCCTACAACACGACCGTCTTCGTTGGCGGTCTCTCCCCGCTCATAGCTGAGGACACCCTCCGCACGTTCTTCGCGCCTTTCGGCGACATCCACTACGTCAAAGTCCCTGCCGGCAAGCACTGCGGCTTCGTGCAATTTGTGCGTAAAGCAGACGCGGAACGTGCGATCGATCGCATGCAAGGCTTCCCTATCGGCGGCTCGAGGATCAGGCTCAGCTGGGGACGTAGCCAGTACAAGGCTGCGCAAGCTGCCGCGCAAGCTGCGCAGGCCGCTGCAATGCAGATGCATACACCCCCCGCACCTGTAGCTGCTACACCTGTTCCACAAATTCCTGCGGGTCTCACTGCTGAGCAGGCGCTCGAGGTCCTGCGCCAACTCGGTCTGGCGGGTCTACTCACGAAGGACGCGCAGGGGCAGGGTAGCGAGATGCAGCTTCAGGCGCTGCTGGAGCAACAGGGACTTACCCCGCCGCCACCGCCCCAGACTGGTCATAACCGTCGCGAGAGTGCTCTCGCGGGAGGTCCCCGTAATTTTGCTCCCGGACAAACGTACGATCAAAGCCAGGGTGCTAGTGGGTATAGCAAGCCTCCGCCCGCCCGTGGCGGTGGTGCCGGATACGGAGGCGCTTACGGCGCGCCCGCCTTCACGAATGCGGGTGTGGCCACAGGTGCGAACGCTTACGGCAATGCTGGTGCCTATGGGCTGCAAGGTTATCAGACTCAAGCGCCGTTTGGTGCCCAGCAGCCCAGCTTCGGTCAACAGGCGTACGCGCCACCCTTCAACGCACCCGCGCAGGCCCCGGCACGTGACTACGCCCCTGCATATCAGCAACACCAAGCTCAGACCGCGTATGGGCCTACGTCTGCGACTGGTCAGAACGGATACGGACAAGGTGCTTCACCGGCGTATGGATCATCCTCACAGGCGCAGAACTACGGTACCGCGTCCGGCCAGCAGCCGTCGCCGTCTTCTGGCAATGCGAATGGTAACGCATACTCGTCGAACCAGAACGGCAACGGCTACTCGTCCTCGAACACCAACAACTACTCATCCAACGCGGCCGAGCGCGCTGGTCGTGACGAGATGCATGATCTCAACGGCACGCTCGCGAGCCTCGATCTCGGCGGCGCTGAGCGCGACGCCTAAACTCCCTAATAACTCACAAAAAGACTGTCTTTGTCTCGTTATCGCTTTCAAGCTCTCTCTCGTCTGTCCAAACGTCTCGAAAATTTGCCTCTCGAACTTGCTCTGTTTGCCCGTGCCGTTTCCACTTGTCGGGGACGGGACGGTGCCATTTGGATAGCACTGCTTCGCTCTTCCATAATCACCTACTATCTACCTTGCTCCTCATCCATCTCGTTGTCCATCCGTGTTCGTATTCGTTGCTCGCACATCCTCCCTTGTCCGTATCCATTGCTCCATCCACATGCCACAAACTCTCTCCGCTTTACACGCCCCCGATGATGATGATGTTCGATGTTTCGCAACCCCCCGCCGTCGAGTCGCGTTGTCGCGTATCTTTGCTCTTACTATCCTCTGTTTTCTCTCCCTGTCTTGTCTTTCGATAGCTTGATACTCCTTTCATTCGATGTGTCCTTCGTGAACTATCCTGTCGATGTGTCTCGTTTACATACCTATGATGAATGTTCTCCCCTCTTCACTCAGGTCAGTTGTGAGATAAACATATGGGTCTTGCCTACAACTGTGAGAGATAGAACGGAGACGGATGTATATGGACTTATAAGCTTGAGTTCACGTACGTCAGGCGACCTACTCGAGTTCCTCAGTCACAGGGTCCGTATTGCCTCGGGCAAGTTTCGGCGTCGCCCTGCCCGCGCGACTTGGCACAAGCGCCCATAACCGGCCCTCGAGCTATCACAATCATGCTGCAGTGCGACGCACCGCTTTCGAGACCGCTCTCCCATCTCCCGCCTTCCATCTGCACCTCATGAGCAACAACTCCGAAGAGCCCAATGTGCCAATACCTTCAGGCTCCGCGCCGTTGGAGGCCAAGGAGCGCGTAGCGCGTCTATTCTCAATCATCTTACACGGGAACGACCAGGGCTTCGCTTTACCGGTCGCAACGCGCATCCAGGTCACTGATATCGCTATCGAGGAGAAGAAGGGAGCACCGGGAAAGACGGAGACGACTCTGGTCTGCGAGCTGGATGTGCGGGAGGACATGGTGAATGCCGGCGGGAACCTGCACGGCGGAGCGAGCGCATTTCTTGTGGACGTGTATGTCGCTTGTAGGGCTTGACGGTGTATGATGATGAGCTGACGGTATGCAGGTGCTCGTCGCTGGCGCTTGCCGCTGCGGGCAAGTTGAACAGCGTTTCGCAGGCGCTTAACGTCGTGTACCACGCTCCAGCTCCCCTGTACGGTACCCTTGGCTCACTGAGGCATACCCACGCTTACTAACATTTACACAGAGATAACCACTTGCGTATCATGAACTGGACTATCACTGTGGGCTCACGTGTGATGTCTACTCGCACGGAGGTACGTTTCCCCGTTCACCGAAGACAGAAAGCTTCTTGTTCTGATACCTCTCGGTCAGATATGGGATGCGACAGCAGGGAGACTTGTGGCCACCGGTATCCACATCAAGATGGAACCCTCGGCTGCGAAGTTGTAGCCACGTACTCTCACTCTTGAACGGCTTTGGCCGAATGATACTCCCTGGACGCTGCAGGGTTTGCTGCATCGTACGGGTCGCTTGGGCCTGAAACGCCACATCACCCATGCTGCCCTGGAGAGCCCTATGCTACGGCTGGCCTACCCCATCTGGTCAGCAGCGAAGTCGGCAGTACCTCTGCTAACATCCCTCCACACGCTACTGCCCCCGCGAGACGGTCAACAAATTCTATGTCTTCTCCTAAACTCTGTCTTTGGATCACTACACATATCATAAGTTTCAGAAGTCCCGCCTTTTCACTCGGACCCGGGCTCTCATGCCGGCGCTGTTCCGAAACCCACGGGCGAAGGTCTTCATGCCCATCGAGAAGCACTGTGGATTCTTCGATATACTCTCACTTGATCTGCGCGGGTGCATACCGAAATGAGCATCTCGTCGTTTACACGAGAAGGCGGAAGCCATATTTCTCCTGTTAATGATATCACAGCCTTCCGAAATGAGGAACCTCCGGCTCGATGCACACCCTACAGTGCGCATCGAGAGGTCAGATTGCCACATATCGGTACAGCGAGCCCGCCAAGAGCATGAGCTTGGTACCTGCATAGCATGCAAAAAGTACGCGGCTTTGTTCTAAAAAGGTTATGCAGAAATACCCGGACCTACTACCTTCCACTGCAGGTCACCTAACGACGCGATGCGACTGGCTCGCAGCAAAGCGGGCCGCCGATTGTGCGCCCAGGCCGCCCTCCATGACTTGGCCGTGGCCGATTCATACGACTTGAGTTGCATCTGGACCTCTTCTATCGTGACCGAGCAAACGCATCATTCCTCGTATCCCTGGCATCTCGCAGCGTGATGAGGGACCTGCGCTAGGCGCGCAGTAGAGCGGCCCACAGTCGAGGGTGTCGGCCAGGACAGCGCGCACCTGCCACCGCGGCCTGTCCGTTAGCATTTACGCTGGCGGCGAGCGCGTCATGGGGCTATTTGGTCGCGGAGATCATGCCTCCGACGAGGATGCGCGAAGATGTTTTCTAGACCTGAGAGGCCAGAAGAGGTAAGTCCACAGAAGAATACCACGGCCGTCGCTATGTCTCGAAGGTTGCCAAGGAGGTGGCAACGCGCGCTACCTTCCCGGCACCGAGTGCCTGGACCTTGTTCCGCGCGGTCATGACGGAAAACTTGCCCGACCCGCCCCCTGCCTACCCAAAGACGGCTGCACATCCTCCACCTTCCGTGCGCAAAAGCTCGCAGGCTTTTGCGCCCAGTGAGCCACGTACCGACAGTCGTTAATGAACATGCCGGCATCACAAAATAGAATGGGCCACCAGATCCATCATATCGACGGTCGCGTGCTAGAAGCCGCCCTCGCTGATGTCGAAGCATATGTGAACAATATGATCTGCCCAAGCCAGGTCCGTCGACTTATAATTATGGGATCTGTCTTTCCGCGGTATCGCCTGCGCGCGCGGCCCAAGCGTTCTCTCAGGTACTCCTTATTCCCTTACCTTCACGTTCGGACCGCAGTGCTTGCACTGGCGCATTTCTGTGCTGTTTGCCTTCCCTCCCTCGACCGACCCTACCTCTGAAGTACACTATGGCGGACGGGAGTACCCTTGGCATCCCTTTGAGTGAGCTCCCTTCGGTCTACGAGACCATCGGGTGTCTATACCTTGGGTGGGGAGCATCTGCGCTGTGAGTCTCGCTGCTTTTGGACATCTTCCACCGAGCTCATGGACGAAATGTACAGTGTCACTGGGATGCTTTGTTTGCAAACGTGGACATACTTCAACCGATATCCACAAGACCCTTGGGGATACAAGGCTTTGGTGAGTCAACCAACTGTGTGTTTTGCTTTCTATACTGAATCGGCTGCAGGTGGCGTCTCTCATGTTCGTATTTTGGCCATATATAAGACGTCTTCTTATTCCGACACGTACATAGGTTCATGGAGGCCGTCCACGAAGCATTTGTAGGGCATGTTGGATGGTATGCGCTCTTTCCATAGCTACCGAGTGTTTGCAATTGAAACATGCTTTCAGGTTCTACGGTATAGAGTACGGCTTGAACTGGGCCGGCCTTGTTGAGATGAGCTGAACTGGGGCGTAGGAATTTCGGGAACCCTTTAACATTGCTGGAGAAGCCAGTATGGTGCGTTCCCTCGGCCTCTGTATCGAAGTTTCCCGCTGATTATGAGCGCTGTTAGGACTTTATCCGTGCGTACACCTACTCAACCGGGCTTTCTGCATCATTCTCACCTCCATACTAGACTCAGGTAGTACTCGGGGTACGTTGCGCGTTTTCGGTGCATGGGTGCAATAGCTGAGATGATGGCGTGTGGCAGGCGTTCGTGGGGACAGTTGTCAAAATGTTCGTTCGCCACTCGTTCAATTTTCCCACAGCGCGCTTAACACTGACCCGCTCTTCCCAGCTGCTTCGCTCTCAGAGTATGGAAGTGTATGCACCGTCCTCCGTACCCCAGCGCGCACACCTCTGACACCGCCCAACAGTCAGTAAGAAGAACATTTTAATCACCGGAACTATCGTGCGTACCTCGTCACCCCCGCAGTCGGAGTCGCGTGCTCATGAGATCTGCAGATGGGAATGGCTCTGGCGCAGCTTGGTGCGCTAGCCCTTTTCTAGCGTTCATTTCGTGATCTCATCGAGTACTATTGGGTGTGAACAGGCCTGGCAGCAGGTATGTACTTCTCCGCCCGCGTCAGAACGAGAAACTGACACCGTGCTTCTATAGCCTACACGATACGGAGGTGAGCCCGTTCGTCATGGCAGCGCGCCACATCGGACTTATACCCCGGATCTAAGCGTATCCCTCACACTGGTCGAGGTGGATGATATCAAGGCGAGTATTCTCCACCCCTTCTGACCATGGGTCTTCTGACCGTGCGATATAGACGCTCGCGACGGCCGGATTAGCGCTCGGGTGTGCCACGGATATCGTGACGGCCTTCGCGTTATCGTACTTCTTGCACAAGATGCGGACAGGCTACGCTGCGTATGTGAATATGTTCGTATCCTAGACACGTTATCTGACCTTCGCTCAGCTCTGACTCGCTCATCACACGGTTGATTGTCTATTCTGTGAATACGGGCGCAATTACCAGGTATGGTCGTTCTTTCAGTCTTCGCGAGCGTTTCTGACCCGCGAGCTCGCAGCATATGCAGTATGGCCGTGGTCATCACAGTAAGCGCCCAGTCCTCTACCCCCGGCTTGCCGCTGCTCATACGCGCATCTCTAGTACAACCTGATGTCAAACAACTTCGTGTTCATGGCCTGCTACGTACGCCATTCATCCAATCCTCTGCGTCTTACATACTGATCCCGCAACAGTTCGTTCTCAGTAAACGTATGCCGCAAGCTTCTAACCTTCGACTTCGCCCAGACGCTCACATGCATGCAGTATACGCGAACTCCTGCCTTGCAACGCTGAACACACGCAAGTTCATCCGCGGACGCGGTACAGACAACAATCACAATACAGGCCCATCGTTCGCCATGGTCAACCGTACACTGACGGGCCTAAACGAAAGCAAAATCCAGCGCGTACGTGTGATCCTTCTCCTCACGCGGACGTTCATCTGACCGACGTCACGCCTCTAGGACGGCTTGCGCGTCGGCATCCAACAAGACGTGTCGATCGTATCCGACGACGGATATGTCGCCAAACTTCAAACAAGCTCAAAGGTACATCGATCGGAGTTTCGCTCCTATGTCCTTGGCCCGACTAACTGACCGGATCCGACAGAAGGCGGAAGAAGGACGTGTGCCGTACTACGTCCCCTACAGCAATGGCGACGCCAAGTCACCCGCTGATTCCGAGGGGCCCTCCCCAGTTTACGCCAATGCCTGGTGATAGATGTATCACTTACTCCATTCGCTGGCGAATACCTAACTCCATATTTGACAACCATGTATTTGTACTACCTCGACGGACAACCCCACCAGCTACTACTAATCTTCAGTCCGCATCTACGGAGTCTCCTCACGTCTATCCCGCACCCCATCCCCCTCGTACCGCACCCTCTTACTCTGTTGTCTGCGTCCCGCTCGCCTTGCCATTCCTCTGCACTGCAATCTTTGTACTTACTACACTTTGTCCTGCTATCCGCGCCTCTCCCTCTTGCTTTTGCTACCCTTACGCCAGTCCGTCGTGGATCCCAATCGAAAAGGCCTCTCTACTACTAGACGAACAAGTGGCTCAAGAGCAAGAGCAAGTCTCGTGTCTTCACATACATGACCGACGCGTACAAGAACTCGAGTATGGCATTGAACGCTCCGATTGCAAATTACACCCGTCACCCAGTACGCGATCATCCCGCCTCAACGCACGGTTACAGGCCGGCAAGCCCTAAACGCAGCGCGCGAGGGTTCGTCGGGGAGCGACTGTCAGGAAGGTTGCTTAGTATCGTCATTGCGCTCTGAGATAAGGTATGAAGAAGGTATCGTAGGCAATCATGTATCACGCTCTCAGCGTCCCGAGCATCACACATCGTCAAGAGTCGTACATCCACGCTCATAAAGACTTGCGGTCAAACTCGCCCTCCTTAACATCCACACCCTCCGTCTGCGCGCGCACAGCCCGACGCTCTTCGGCCCACCTCACGGCCGCGCGCCGGCCAGCCGTAACGTCGACGAAGATCCAAATGGTGAAGCTAGCGCAGAAGCAGAGCGCGAAGAGGAAAGGGAAGCCTTTCCAGTTGTCGCCCGTGTTGTCGATGATGGCTTGGATGACGTTCGGGCCAATCATGGAGGAGGCGCGGTTGGAGAGGCCGAAGAGGCCGAAGAACTAGATGACTGGTTAGTAGAGGCCGGCAGGAGTGTATGAAGAGGATGGCGCACCATGTTGTCGTAGCCGGGCGGGGTGAGCTCTGCCATCATAGTCTGCGAGAATGCGTAGTACGGTGCCTGGAATAGGCCGAATACAACATTGTACGCCCTGTTGTACTGTAAGCACGGCTATAGACAGACCAAAGCGCTGTGCGAACTCACCAGAACTCCCATTCGTTGTGGAAACCGAACTTGTTCGTCCAGATACCGATCATGCCCCAGAGCGGGATCAGCACCGTCACAACGTTCGTTACGACAAACTGCCCGTCTGAGTGAGTATGGGAAGGCAGCGACTCAGATCGAGAGCAAGACCGACCATCTTCTTCGTGCTGATCTTCCAGTACCTTTGGATGTACCAGAAGCCGAGTGTGCTGTCAGACAGGTGAGTCAACCTTATAGGGATCATTGTAAGCAGATGTTCACCTGAGGGTGGAAGTAATAGCCTGTGCCAGACCGAGATACGTGTTCTTCAAGAACGAGAACGAGAACTTGTCGTTCTGGCAGATCGAGATGAGCGTCCCGGTAGTGTTGAGGCCGTCCGCTAAGAGGAAGAAGGCGAAGAGGTAGACGAAGGTGTATGGGAGCTTCTTGTACTGTTTAAACGCCACCCATATCTGCTTCCAGCCGATGGTGAAGTAGCTCTCGCCCTTGGGAAGCTTGGGTCCAGGACGAGGGTTCTGGAAGATGAACCACCAGATACCGGTGAGGACCCAGTATCCGTTCGTCCTGACAGTATTTCAGTCATCGCAAATATGTTACGGAGGTATAGTACGCACAAAACCAATACGTAGTTGTTGACAAGAGGGTTGTCCGATATTGGCTTAGGAAGCAGCAGAGAGAGATTCAGAGCCAGCGTGACGATGTAACCAATGTTACTATGCATCTGTAGATCCTGTCAGCACCGTGAAATGCGCGTCAAAGCGAGGGGCGGACGTACGGTGCTGATGTTACTGATCCTGTTCTTCTCCAGACTCTCCTCCTGCTCGTACTCTTCCGCTGAGCTCTCGCCCTTCTCGTAGCGTTCCCGCAATTCCCGAGCATGAGGCGTGTTGCGGGCGAGACGAGGGAAGATAGCAGCGTAGAAGACGAGTGTAGCGCCGTAAGCGATGAAGCCGATCATGTATAGCGCCATGGCAGCACCCCACCTGCTCGGCCCTAGAACAATGAGTTAGACCAGGTAAATATGTTCTATAACGGTTGTCCCACGTACTGTCGAGGCTCATACTTGCGAACTGGGCGCCCCAGCAGATCACTGTGACCACCAGAAGAAGCCAGCGACCGAATGTTCCATAGTCCGCTGCAGAGCCAATGGTCGTAAAGATAGCGGTCATGACCTGTACCGCACATCAATAAAATATGTCCACAAATGTAGTCCTAGTAGGTATACGCACAGCGAAGCTGACACCGTTTGCAACAAGCACCACAGATGAAACTGACTTGGTGCCGCTTCCCCAAGGCAGAACGCACTGTCCCGAAGCATCGGCGTCAAGGCATGAGGATCCGCGTCCGCGGACAGGGTCCCAGCCAGCCGATGTAGCCAGGGACTGGAAGAGTGTCATGGAGTAGCCTATAGCATGATAAGCGCGCGTTTGCGATGAGAATAGAAAGTCGCGCACCATTGGGGCCCACGCCGTTGTCTCCGTTGTAGTACAACTGGAAATACTTGAGCTAGAGTATCCAGTACAGATACAACTGGCACGTACATAGTAACTCCAGAGCTCCTTCCTCGTCACTATCGGCTCATTGTCCAACACGGGCGCTGTGACCGGGATGTCAGAGATAGGCGACCCCACGTCCACCTCCTCGTCGCCGCCCTTGAAATCGGCATCGGCGACGATGTCCGGCAACGGGTGGTTCTCTGGAGCGGGAAGGCGCGACATGGCCGCGACAAGCAGACTGCATACTGCACGGGAGAGCAACTGATATATGCGGCGCCTGACTGGGTGGAAATTGTCAGGTACAGCAGGCCTTCTATTGGCCTCGGGCCGCACGCACGGGACGCTTATCTGCGATACGCGCGGGTCCACATGCAAGGATCCTGCATGTAGCGGAAGCAACGCTACTTAGGCTCGATACATCATGGATCTATACGATAGTTGGGTATCACGGGGTGCGTGGAGGCGGGAGACAAGGTGGTCGCACGCGGCGTAGAACGCCGAACGCGTCCGCGTCTTGAGGAACGTAACATCAGAGCAAGCGCTCGTCAATATCTTACACGAAACCTCAAGCTCGCTATGCATACCACAGCTACTCGTACAATGTAATACAGACAAAGCGGTTTACGAAGAAGCAAAGTGCGGCGGATAGATAACAGGCGTTCCGGCCATGCGTGCGACTAATCGCAACCCTCAATTCAGTCTAGCCTTCTTCCTCGAATGCACAGCGTGCCCTCCAGTAAGCACACCAAACGCAGACCCCGCCGTACTCTGAGTAGCAGGAACAGGCGCCATCGGCGGATTGACCAACCCCGGGGCATCTTCCTGCGACACCCTCCTCGCCGGCGGCAGCTGCGAAGCCGGTACATTCGCAAAAACGCTGAGCTGAGGCTTCGGCTCCTCGGTGAACCATCTATGCTCTAGCGCTTTGCGTGAGTCCAGTCGTCTTGCGGGATCCCATGTGAATAGGCCGTGTAGAAGAAGCGCCGCGCTCCCCGCGAGCCCACGTTGGGCGCACCAGGAGTCAAGCGCCGGTTGATGGGACTCGAGGCGCCGTAGGGCGGCGTACTCCGGCATCTGGCTAAGCCCGGGCCATTCCTCTTCGCGGGGGTTGCCGAGCACTTCGAGTACGCGGAGCATCTGCTCGCGTTGGAATGGCACTGCTCCTTTGCGAGCTGCGGCGTCTGGTCTTGCTTCTTCGCCCTTGAATATGGGCCGTAGGGCTGCGAGCTCGGCCAGGACGCAGCCAACTGCCCAGCAGTCCACGGCGCGGGTGTAATGTCGCGCTCCGAGAAGAAGCTCGGGTGCGCGATACCAGATCGTTACGACAACCTTGTCGCCGGCGTATAAGGGTGCGAGTGGTGCGCGCGCAAGACGGGCAAGGCCGAGGTCGCCGATCTTGACGGTCCCAGCAGAGTTGATCAGGATATTGGCTGGTTTGAGGTCGCGATGTAGGATATGTGACGCGTGGAGATATAGTAAGCCGGATAGAAGTTGGTATGTCGTGCTCTTGAGTACGCCGACGGGTATACTCGTTCGCAGCGTTTGCGAGTAGTGGTGGATCAGTTGCTAGATAGATATACCAACACGCACCTTGAGCTACCACCTTTGACAGCTAGCAGCGGCCCACTCACGAGGAAGTCGTGCTCGGCATACTCAAAAACCATATAAATCGACTTGTCTTCCAATATCACCTCCTTGAGCGCCACGACGTTCACGTGCAATATCTCCCTATTGAGCGCAATTTCGCGAATAGCGCTCTGGCTTATCCCCGTATAAGTCAATACGTCGCCCTCCTTGTCCGGCTTGAACTTTTTGATGGCGTAAAGCCTGTTCAAGTCGTCGCCGGTCCGAGAGGCCGCTTTGTAGACGCGGCCGTAAGTGCCGGAGGAGATGAAGCCGAGGATAGTGTACTTTGATGCGACCGAGCGGTGTGCCTCGTCTCGTTTTGCGCGATAGAGTCGCATAGGGTCGCTATTCAGCATTGCGAGGACGTTGTCGCCCATGGTGAGGTGGCGGTTAAGGATAGAGACAGCGTGGGATAGTCCGGCCACGATCCACGCGACTATGCGACGTGCACTCGCGCCGACGTTGTGCTTTCACTCTCATGGGGACGACTCGACCATGATACTCCGGTATGCGTGATGGGAGGATACGTACGAGGCTGAACTGGGATAGAGGAGTTGGCTTTGGAATATATTTCCCAACGGTATGCCTGGCAGTGGCAACGCAAGGAATGGCCTCAAGCGACGGATCTTCGGCCCGGGAAGAAGCGCTCGGCGTGGTTCAAGTCGGACTTGGTGGCGCATGGGCACCCTCTCTTACTTGCCTCAACCCTCCATCTGCAAGAACGCATCTCAAGGCCTAGATTCTGTGGCACTGGTACTGATTTGCACTACGTATAGCCATCATCGGCTGTTCGGGCATTCAATACGCCCGTCTCTCCATTGTACACTGCTTGCGTGAAGTGGTTCAGCCGCCTCATTCCTGGCTCGTGTACCATCAACCACCCTTCCTTTCCATCCCGCTTACGAGATTCACCGATAATCTAAGCGGTGGTTGAGTCTCCGTGGTTGACCTCAGGGTATATAACTCACATCGTAAGTCTTCGAATTCCCATCGTCTCGGCTTCCTCATCTCACTGCTGTTTCCCCCGTCATGTCTCAGCCCGACCCCGCTGACGGTCAGTATCTGTGATACCTTGAACTTGGATGGCTCGCTGATACCACTGTGTGGCTAGTCGATAAACCTTCGGACGCTGCCCCTTTACTCGAAGCTGAGGAGGGCGTAGGTCTCGAACACCGTCTCTCCGGTAGCACTCAGTGGCAATCCAATATGAGCGTTCAAGACGCCGCCCAGCATCAGACGCAGTTTGTGAAGGACATGGAAGGGCAGTTCTCGAATAGCGTCGACCCGGTCGAGTTCATGGATAAGTATTTCCCGCTCAAGGAGGGCGACGACCCCAAGCCTCCGCGACGTGTTAAGTTCAGCGAGAACATTATTAACGATGAGAAGGCGTGGGTATGTCTTGAGATTCCACTTTCCACTGCTACTCAGTTCTGACGGGCTGTCAATAGGCCACAGCCGTCAACAAGAAGAAGTTGTGTCCCAGCCTGAAGTTCTTCTGTACGAAGGACGCGAATTCGGGCTCTCCGTCCATGGACGACGAGAAACGACGGCCCGATATCGCAGCGTTTCCAGTCATGTCGAAGAAGGAGGAAACCGCTCTCATCGCAAGCAACTACGAAGAGCTCTTCGCCCGCAGTCCCCTCATCATCGAGCGCAAGCGCAGCCTCCAAGATGCCTTCCGCGATAAACTCAACGAGTTCATCGGCGTTGAGAAGGAGACTGCGGAAGCCGAATTTGTGCGGGGACAACTCATCACGTACGCCATGAATCAACACCACCAACAGCCTCGTACGGCGAGTTACCAAGTTCTCCTGATCGAGAAGAACGCACGCATTATTCGCTTCGATCGCGCTGGCGCCGTATGCACCACGGCCTTCGACTGGACCGACGGCACCATCTTTCCTGAGTTTCTCTCTCGCTTTCATAACGCAGACCAGGCTACGCGTGGATATGATACCACAGTCGAGCCCGCGGACGAGGCCGACATTACCGCTGCGACGGACGCGTTCGCCAAGGCAGGCTACGGAAAGACGCATGGCATGCGGGGTCCTTTCTACAAGTACGCGGTCCCAGTCACGCGCATTGACCCCTCTCTGCTCTCACCCGAATCCGGGCCCTCAACTGCCTCTGCCGATGAGCCCGACGACACGCCTGTTGAAATGCGCTACTTCATCGCTGGTTGTCCTATCACCTGGTCTCGCTCGTTCACTGGCCGCGCGACAACCGGCTATGTCTGCTACGACCTTGCGGAGAATGACGTGTGCTTCATGAAGGATGCGTGGCGTATCAATGATCCAAGCTTGCTCGCCGAGTACCAGGTGTATGCTCTCCTCGGGCGAGAGAGGCCCGATCTCGATGAGGATGCAAGGGGACCGGTCCCACATGTGCCCCGGCTTCTCTGCGGTGGCGATCTCCGGAATCCGGGCGGTAGTTTACAGGAGACGCGCACGGAGGTATTCAAGGAAGGCAAGAAGCAGACCGTACAGAAGTACACCCACTTCCGGATGGTGGTGAAGGACATCGGCAAGCCCCTCTCATCTTTCAAGGACATCCCAGAACTCTTGCACGTTCTGCGCGACATTGTGATTGGTACGTTGCAGTCTTCTTTTTCAACCACAAGAAACAGTCTGATTTCCTCTCCACAGCTCATCAATACGCTGTGAAGAGAGGCATTTTACATCGCGACATCAGCGTCGGAAACATTCTCATCGGTCGCGACGCTGCTGGAAAGGCTTACGGTCTGCTCATTGACTGGGATCTTTGCTTTGTGCGCGACCATGCGCAGACCGACGAACAACGGTGGATCACGGTGCGTTCATCCTATCCTTTGAATTATGACTACCGTAAGCTCATATTCTGTTCAGGGAACCTGGCAATTCATGTCAATCGCCCTGCTGTCACGGCGCAAGGGCCACCGGCACAGCGAGATGGACGACCTTGAGTCTGTTTTTTGGGTGCTCTGCTACTGTCTGGTACGCTACACGAACCTGTACAACGGCAGCGATCGATCAGCCGCTGGTCACCTGAACACCTTCTACGACCTCGCACATCCCGGACCATCCCAGCGTCAGGATCGTCCCGAGACCATGATCGGTGGAGAGACAAAAGTTCCTCTGCTCACGGCATTGGACGCAGGCGAGGAGATTGCATACTTGCCTGCGGAGAACATGCCCGAGGCACTTTACATCCTTCTGTCCGGTGTAGCCAAGTCGCTCTCTCGCTACCTGCAACAGCGGGACATGCACCAGGCTGTTGCACGCTTCGAGGGGAAGACATTCAAGAAAGGGTCGTATGGCGCCACCCAGCTTGCGAGTGCCAAGCAAAAGGCTGACTTCGCCGACTCGTTGTACAACCAATGGCCGAAGTTCTCGCACGAGTCGTTCTTGTCCTTCTTCACGGATGCGATCCAAGACCTAGATGGACTCGAGCCATCGGCCACCGTTCATGGGTCGATGGTAGTGTCCGACCGTCTCAAAGCCCATCAGGAGGTTGTACGTCACCGGGAGAAAGCGGAGCAGGATAGGGCTCGGTCGATACGAAAGCAGAAACTGGCTGATGCGAGGGCAGCGGAGAAGGCGGCAAAGGCGCACGCTAGCGGCGCAGAAACGCGTTCAGGGAGGAAGCGTGGGCGGGCGGAGGACAACACGGCGCCATCTGGAAGCAAGCGCCGACGTGCGGAGAATACAGGTTCTGGTTCTTCGTACCAGCTGCGCTCCTCGCGTCGCGAGCCCGCCGGATCACCGGTGCCCGAGGGTGTGGAGCCTGAAGAGTAGGGGACTGGCTGGGTTATGGGGGTCATAAAACGTACAACGATGATACAACTTGTTATTCTCCTGTTTTGAACTTCTCGATGTAATAGATACGTTTGTCATCATGTCGCTTTCTGCAGTTTTGTACGGATACTATGTTGATCATATGTAATCATGATGGTATTAAATATGCTCATCTGCTGGCAGTAGGACAATCTCCGAAGCGATGAGCGCAGAACTCATCACGAAGCGTGAGAAAAGATATGATCTATCGCATTGACGGTATAAATGGCAGACATTCAGCCCAACATACGATCACGGCGGTCAAGAAGCCCTGCAAAAGCCAGCAATATCGTTCATCGCGCCGTACACACTCTTGACCGCCACCTATATGCGTGTACCGGAAGCTCCCGTTCAAAGGCAAGAAACGCGAAGAGGCAACTGGGCCTTGTTGCCCTCAGACGACACAGACGGTGCAATAATGCCCGCGAATCGCCAGACGATCTCCTTGTTCTCAGGCGGCGGGTCGAACTTGAATGTAGGGATGAACTGCGCCAGTACGGCCTCTGTAACAACGGGGATGAGCGCTCAATCATCGTGATGATCATAGTACACTTACTCATCTCCAGCAGCGAGAACTTGAACCCGCTACGATGCACTGTTAGCTACATCCTCGCACTGAAGAGGACGCGGCGATCACGTACATGCAAGACCGTGCCCCGCCGGCGAACGTCAATATGTTCGAATACACTCCCGGAACACGCGCGTCCGTATGCGGAGAGTCGCTAAGCCAGCGCTCAGGCTTCCAGTCACGAGCGTCCTCGCCCCAGATGGACGTATCGGTGTTGACGGCCGCGATATTGCAGAGGATCGTGGTTCCTTTCGGGACAAAGACCTCGGTCTGCAGCGTGCCGGTAGAGTCCGTGAAGGCTTCCCTGAGAGGTAGAACGTGATCTTCACGAGCGCTGGGTGAACCGAATGAGTATTGGGCGCATATATTGAAGTGTTTGAAGTCGCTTACCAGCGCCGGAGGAAGCGGACGGGTGGGAAGAGACGCAGCGTCTCGCGGCAGACAGCCTCGAGATACGGCAGCCTATCAAGCGATTCGTAGCTGGCGTCTCCGTCAGGTGCGCCTGCATTGATGAGCTCCTCCCTAAGTTTGTCTTGAACTTGCGGGTGGAGCGCCAACATGTAGAGGATGCGTGAGAGCGCGTTACTTGTGGTATCAGTTCCTGCCGAGAAGTCAATACAAGCCTGAAAGACGTCGATTGAAACTTGCCTGCGAACAAGAACAGGTTGATTTGGGCCTGTATATCACAGTCAACGGGCTTCACTCATTCGCGTGCGGCGATTCAACACTACGCACTTGGATTTCGTTCTCCGGGAGCTTGTCGTCGAGCGCGCTTCCATCGTTCTCTTCCACTGTGAGTCATATATCAGCCACCAGCACTCAAGGACGGTAGAAAGAGTACGCACGCAACAAGCTCAGGATATCCTTCCCTTCGCCCAAGATGGCGCTGCTTGAGACCTTCCCCTCCGCATGATCCCTCTTCTTATCCGTCCACACAGACATCGCGAACTCCTGCATCTTGTCGGAGATGTAGAAGTGCTCCTGGAGCGCCTGGTTTGGGATCATCTGTCCGACACGACGAAGGAGCCATGGTGGGAAGTTGCGCGTGAGAAATGGGAGCAGGGGTTGGTACTTGAAGAGCTGGCCAGTGGCCGGCCTATGTGAGGATACGGTTAGCAATCGTTATTGGCTGGAGCGGCGCATTGACTCACGCGACGCGCTTCAAGATACTGTCGAGTGTGCCTGAGGTTTCCGTACCCTCCAGGACGCCGACTTTCGTCCCAAAACCACCTAGATTTAGTTCAGCAACTTAGAGAGCGAAGGTCATCATAGAGATCGTTTCTCACCTTGTGCGATGAGTTCAAGTGCAAGCCCACCCAAGTACTTCACGACATCCGTCTCGGCACGGCCAGTGCGCTGGATATCAGCGGCGAGGACTCTGCGAACCTATACAATGAAAGTCAGCATGCGCACTCAAAACCGAGACCCTTGACTGCTGACCTTTTTCGATAGGCTGGAGAACAAAGGGAACAAGCGTTTGAGATGTGCGATGTTGAACGCGGGGTTCATGAGCTTGCGATGCCTCCTGTGCTTGCCGCCTTGTAGACACTCAGTCAGTTGGATCTGGTCATGAACGACAAAATCTAGACTCACCCTCAAGCGGAGAAGAGGTCAAGTTCGATCCCCACAAGAGCCTCGTGATCCTGCGGTCGGCAAATGAGTGGGTGCAGCAGACAGGTATTGTTTAGACGTACGTGAGGAAGAACTCGGCAGTGTCGAAGGTGTCCACATGTTTGACGATGATGTGGTGGAGAGCGTTGATGTCGGATGTGACGAGCATTTGCTCCTGTAAAGTAAGTATTCAGCGAAGATGGTATACTAAGGGGCAGTACTGTGAGAGTGGGATACGCACGCCGAGGTAGCCGTTGATCCTGTACATCGAGCCGTACGTCGCAGTCAAGTGCTCCTGGAAGGGCGTGGCATCGGGGTTCAAGATCTGACCCAAGTTGCCTGTGACCATCGTCAGCATGTTATGGATGACCAAATATCCATCGGAGACTCACCAGAGATCAGCGAGGCATTGGCGGGGCCAGGTATCTTGCGAAGCGACCACTGGCGGTGAGTGCGCTGCAAGAGCGGGAGAACCGCAGCAAGCATAAGCGCCGCGAACACGGCAGATGCAGAGAGAAGTATGAGGGACATTGTTGAACTGAATGAAGCTCAAGCCAAGATCGCATACAGCTTATATATCCCAGCCCTCTCGGAGTCTCGGTTGCTTACACGCAGCCACGGAGGGTAGGTCCCATAGAAGACTTCTGCACTGGGAGCCTGCTTCTTTGCACGGGCCGGTGCTTCTCATGGGCGACATCGAACTTTGAAGGCTGGGAGGTGTTTGGCACGAGCAGAGTCGTAGCGTGCTTATCAGTAAGGGACTATCATCCCATAGAGACTGGGTTCTCCTACGGCATAGTTGCGCTTTGCGGACTTGCTCTCCCGGCTGTATAGGTCCAGGGGAAAGGTATCTGTATCTTGAACAGCGGAAGGGTCGGAGTCCTGAAAACACGCCTGTCATGTTCATTGGTCACAGTCTGGCGTAGGATGAGCATCGCTACAAACAAGACCTGTCGAGCGCCGGATAGGATCGGCAATCTGAGCACACCAACATGTGTCGGAGGGCTGAGTCCGGCCAAGTGGGAAAGCAGCAACGGAGGCCACCGATCCGATACCCACGAGGAAGCCGGAAAGATTCATATAGGAAAAGCCGTCCGATGGAGGTGAGCGCACAAGACGGGAGGGAGGAGACGGTATAGCCGTCTGCGCGTCATCTGTGTACGTCTCGCGATTCGCTTCGTTGCTTCTGGGGACGGCATGGGGCTGCGGTTCATGTTGGCGAGCAATGGTTATGTCCTCAACTCCGTGAGTCTATAGGCATTCTGGTACCAGATGTCATAGACAGACATACGGAGAGGTATGGTCGTCGTCCGGGAGGAAAGGTGCGAAAGCGTATGAACAGCGTCATTGTTCGGAGATATCGGCCCAAGCACATTGGTCTTATGTAACAGGGACCATTGGGCGTCTATATGCGCCTATGAGGTACCTCGAACGTCTATATCGACGGTATACTCACGCTCTTGAATAGCCTTGTAATGTATATGCCGAAGAGCATGAGAAAGAGTAGAATCCGCGGGTATAGTAAGCTGGTAGTAGATCCAATATATGTGCTACGATCTCTCAAAACACGATCACAGTCAAGTCCGCATCCCCTCCTCCTTACTCCTACAAACAGGACACCCCCTCGGCAGCCTCGACCTAAGCGTCGCCGTACTACAGACACCATCAGCGTCCCATAAAAGTGGAAGTCAAAAGAGAGCCACTCACTACGCGATCTTCGCACTGATCCCCCTCGCGCCCGCCGGCGCCCCCGGCCTCGAACTCGGCAGAACCGGCAACG